GGTTTTTTTGAACTAGTCAGCATCATACTCTAAAGATTCTGGGTCCAGGTACAGACCACAGTTCGCCTGAAAAGAGGTGAGTCTGACACATCTGCGTCTTATAAATGTAGTGGAAAACATGACCAAGAATTCCATAAGCCACTGTACACCTGAGGAAACATAAACCTCTCCTGGGGCACATAACTGCTTATCCCAAAGCCATGCCTCTGTGACCATTATTCTTTAGGATGGCCACATACCAGCTCTTTCCGTGAACCAGAAGAGTGGGGTCCCATGACTACGTCATTCATCTGTCCCTAAGATGCACAACCCTGTCACAAAAGCACACACATATCTCTGTTCCTTGCTTTCTGAGTTAAATCCCTGCAGTGTCAATAACCTGCTAATGATCACTCAAAAGCAACTGGCCAAAAAGGCAGGGCTCTTAACAGTAGGTATTTCCTTAGTGTAAACTCGGGTGTTTTCTATCCCCACCTGGCTGGATACTGGGAAGTACATAGTCTATTAAGAGCGCTAACGGTTTTGGGGAACATAGCATTCTAGCTGGGAGTACTAAAAAGAACCAAGACGACTAATAAGAAACTTTCAGGACTAAATAGTTTCACGTTGATGAAAAAGTCAAACTTTAAACGGGACAACCTCTGCTGGCAATGATTAAAGACAGAATCAAAAAACTCTATGTAGGGCAACAGACATTCATTCCTGTTATGTCCAATATACTAAATAGCCATCCATCACAGATTTTTAGTTCTTCTCTACTGTTCTGGGGAAAGCTTTTGTTAGGAGAAGACAGTCTGTTGTAATCTTGTAATAGTTGAACTTTGCTAACAAATTCATAAAAGTTGTATTCCACCAAAAAAACCCCACATGGCATTTAAAAAAATGTGTACACTTGTTCCTACCAAAGAAATCCACCGCTCTGTAATCTGTCACTTGGGGTTGTTGGCAGCAGTCCTTGCTGTCTGTATCACTTGCAAATAACACTTCTGCTATTCAAAGGCCACTCAAGACACTCAATGTCCTCCATACGCTATTTTGAAGGCAGAGCTACAGATGCAAGGATTGCTAAAAGTGACATTTCTAACATCCTGATGCTCACAGCAGACTGGCGGGTCTTAAGAGTGTCTGAAAATACTTGGAGCATCTGGAGAGAAAAGAACTCCAACTTCAATATTTCCTATTCTTTTTTTTTCCCCCTCCTTCCTGCATCCGTGTACCTTAAAGAAACCAACCAGCTTCAGTAATGCTTTCAAGCCAAATACGTAGCGTATGGATCTGTTGTCCCAAAAGGAAATTTTAGTGCCATTCAAAAGAATCAAGTTACCTAATAAGAAACAGAACATGGCTAAATGTAGTGAGAGTAAGAAAGTCAATGAAGTGAGGCTTTTCAAATTATCTAAATTGTGTTCCCTTCTTTATCTTTAATAAAAACAAGTAAGATTTTTGTGAATTGCTATTTCAGTAAGCCAAGGAAGACTTGACACAAAACCACATTTAACTGTGTAATGTTGTAACAGCAGACAAGGGGTCACTAGCATCCTAGCTTTTTTGAGGCCAGGTCACCAGCATACCACACCTTTCACACAACACTGCTTTTCTATTCCCAGAAATCAGCAGTGCCAAAACAGCTTAAAAAAAGTGAAATTAGGCAAAAATACTGAAAAGCCCCAAACAATTTGCACGGCACTATTAATGGGCACAGAACTTCACACACAAGGGCCTAATGATTAAAACTGAAAAAGACCCTACCTAGCAGGTAGAGAATGAAAAAGGTAACATTTAATTCTGTTAAGGAAAAAGTCACAATATTTCTTTGCCTAGAATACAAATCCTTTCAGCAAAATACAGCCTCATTAACTGCATAATCTACTTCTGGTTGAACAGAACTTTGAAAATGTGTTTCAAAATTAAAAAGAAATCCTTTTCATGGTTTACCTATATCAACACAAAACAGTAGATGAATACCTGTTCCTGGTACTGAAATTCATTCGCTTCAATCTTCTGTATTTCTTCCCATATTCTGTAAAAGAGGGAGAAGACAATAAAAGTGGATTTCCTCCATTATTCCACAACATATATTGAGAATCTGAAAAAAAGATTCTAGGAATTCTAGTCTTCTAGGAAAGGCAACAAGGGTGAGTTCAGTGATTCATTCAGGTACAAGACATAGAAGCCAGTATTACATGCACTTCCCTTCCATCCAAATGGGCATTTCTCAATTGGCAGAAAGTTCTGCTATTTTCCGAAGAGGCAGGGACTGAACTACAAACAGTCAAAATCTGATACCAAATTAACATAAAGGCTAACACCAGAACACCATAGTCCTGACTTCCACAGATTTGGCTCAACAAATCTATTTAAATAAACACAAAACTGCACCTAACATCTACATTAGTTCAGCTTATTAAAATTAGAAATTGGATCACAATAAATCAAACTAAAAGCACCAAGAAACAAGCATAAACATTTAGCAAATTCATTTTTAAACTGTTTTAAACTGATACGTTTCCCACACAGACAAGCTTTACTACTGACTCACCGTTTATGCTCTAGTAACTCCACAAAAAGTGCGAACACTACAAATAAAAGGCTAATGGAGAAGGACAATCTCGCAAATATCTGATGTAGTGGCAAACACTTGCCTTTTATCTGGCCCTCTTTTCTGCAGCATCTTCACATACTGAAATACAACATGGGCCACCTGCAGACAGAAAGGAACAGATTAATTTTTCCAGACATTAGGAAAAGAGTAAGAAAATCAGGTTGCAGTAAACCATACCTCATAGAAGTGCTTATAACCCTCATCAGTCAAGGTCACAGAAATGCTGAAGATGGAGTAAGTGGAGTTCTGTTCAAATCCTGTCTCACCATTTCCTCCATATAATGCAAGAGCCCAAAATCTACGGAAGAGTTAAAGATACTTACTAATTACTCGTTTCAGCTTTATTTGAGCTTAGTTACAATTAGCATATCATAGCTTTACTTCAATGGCTTTCAATCCCTTTACAGTTTACACAAATCTTTTCCAAGATGAAGATGTGAACCTCAAGATACAGAATTTAAGAAAAACAGTGAAAAAGCTAAGTTACCTTTTCAAGATCTCTTAAAGATCAGTCACAGATACTGCTGATCCATGGATCACAGACCAAAAGCCACTTATTTCTTACTTGGGTCTATCATCAATTTAAAGAATATCACTACAGAACAGTGATACAAAAAGGCAGACTTGGCCTGCTTTCTGTACAGAAAATATATATACACAAAATAGAGTTTGCCTTTATTTTAATGATAGCAAAGCATTTAAATAACTATGCTTAAAAAATACATACTTTTTCCTAAGGAAAGAAAGAACACTGCCTTTGCCTTCATGTCCCACCAACCAGGAAATATAATGAAGAGGCTTTACCCTTAAAAGAAAATTTGAAGGAGATTAAATGCCAGGAGGTAAGACGTTTCACAGAAAGAACTCAAATCACTAAACAAATGACTAAAATATACACTGTCTGTTTCTTCATGGCAAGTTTTGCATTTTCAGGCAGCGTTAGGATAATAAGCTAAAAATGTGGGAGTTCAGAACATAATGACTGCTCTAAGTCGGTGAGGAATGACATTAAATCAGCTGTGTACCAATTCCACTCAATTTATAAAAGGAACCATATTTGCATCAGTTTAATTCATTTAAAAAATGTTCCCCTAGCTGAACCAAAGTAATCTGTAACACAAATAAATGAGATTCTTTGGTTTGTTGTGAAAGTCAATAAATTATTCACAATGTAGACATGGTAGAAGAAAAATGCAGCACCACCATACCTGTAATACTGTTCTTGTGGGGGAAGCGCCCAAGTGATACTCAATGAATGAACTTTCCTAATTGGAACGACTGAACACAAATAAATTTATTAAATATAAATATACATGATTAGATATAGATAAGAAATTTTACATAATGCAGAAAGAATGGTTAAAAGTTATTCAGAACCACACAGAATTATTCAATGAAGTATGCGGATCACACAGAGAAAATATGAAGCCAGTTATTCAAAACATTTAAACAAATGTATTTTACTTACCTCTGTAAAGCTTGTGAAATTCTGGTGTGTCGAAAGGCTGAGTCAGATGGCCAAAGCTGGGTTTGGGTAAACCACTTAAAAGCAAAATTAAAGTGTGATGTTACTGGCAAGGATTCAAGGCTACACTGAGATAATCACAAGACGTTAGCATCCATAGCTCTGACGTGACAGACGCGGTGCACCAGACAACCAGAAAATGACCTTTAACGAAGGGTGCAACCCAGGATCCACCCAGCCCAAAGTGGAAGGCAACCTGGGATTCACTTGTACTCTGCCCACACAACAGAGTAATTACCCAAGATTTAGATACCGCATCAACTCCTCCCTCTCCTTCTGTCCAAGGCGGTAACAGTAAAAAGCATGCTTTCGTAACGGGAAAGGAAAGCCACGCACAGTAAACAACTTCCTGAGCTGGCCCTGGATTCACAGAATCAACAAACATGTCCCTGTATGGCACTGGACTTTGACAAGCGCATTTCCATGCACCACAGAAATAAACATCTTGCAAAAGCGGAAAATGAAAGGGGAAATAAAATGCTTTTCAATTTAGTAAAGCTCTTCCAGAGCCCCCTTTTTAGACAGCACACTGCAATGAATTATTAAAAAAAAGATTAAGTTCTAACCAGTTGCCACCCTAAGGATGACACTTAAATTCAAGATATGGTCTTAATTTATTTTGCTGCTAATTATTTTTGACATAAAGCAAAGATAAGAAATGTAAAATGATAATCGAGGTTTGAATGATTTATCTTAAAATCAAGGTATCAGTACATATTAAGCAAACGCTGCTGCAAGTTAGCACCACGCAGCTTGCAGGCTAAATAATTGTTAAGCATAAACAAAGTCTTCCTGAAACAATTAATGCCAGTCTTTAATTTCCAAAGTTGCCCATTTTTTTCTGGATAAGGATGTTAATTAACAAATGTTAATTTCCTTAGCTTCTCCAGTAAGGGATGTTTTTTAAAAACAGTCATTTTAAGAACAGATAATTTTATAATTTGGAATGCCTTTATGGATCAAAAGAATCTTACTTATTTGGGATCTCAGAGAAGATTTCTGTCACCCACTTTTCCAACGTATCCAGTGTTTCTAATAAGGAGAGAAAAAAAGAAAGCCAGAAATGTAATTTCCTGAAGATGTAAGACAAATTCTTTATCTTATCTCTCCAGTTCAGTTATTTTAAAGAGGCTGCAAGTCAGCGTATTTTAAAATTGCAAAGTTCTAAATTATGAGCTTCAAAGCTGCTGGTTTGAGTCAATTCTTAATATTCACTGAACTATATCTTTGGTCATAGCTCTGGTTTTGTATATATTGCTGAAATCTCAGGCTGATACAACTGGGATTTAAAGTTCAGTATATCTGGTGTGACTGTGAATAGGAATTACCAACTTAGGGATCTGCAAAACCACCAGTACTTGCTAGACTCATTCCATCCCTCTATGTCCAGAACATACACAGTAGTTTTCACACCTAAACGCAGTCCTACAGTGCTAAGAATTCCTTCTCCCCATCCTCTTTGCTAAAGGACATGTGTCAAGAACCAGAAGTTTAGTTTTTTTAAAGTGACCAATCAGAGATTGCTTGTTTAAGCGAGCATTCTGTATGCCAAGAGTGACGTGGTATATGCTAAACAACAACAACAAAAATGCGGTGGGCTGGGACTCACAGTTTCTTTTGTTTTAACAGAGCTAGAAATACAAAGTTGACCTGGCTGGCTATTAGTCCCCATGCTTTTCTTCCCCATCACCGAAAGAAACAACGTTACAATCCATCGTTACGTAAACGATTATTCAAGAGGCGTTCAATGAATTTTACAGTCTAGACAGAAAGGAAAAGCCTAGGAGAAGAAAATAGTTACCACTTCTGTTATCACCATCTCCATTTTACAGATGGGAATTGCAATCCATTTTAACATTCAACAAAACTCCTAAGCACAAACCTAACTTGAATGCACACAACTATTTATTTTCAGCACAGGCCTCTACTACATGCTTA